TGGTGGTGAACCATTTGGGGAGGATGGAGGTGGCGGTTAGGTAGAGGAAGCCCATGCCGAACCCGAAGGCGATGCCTTGGGTGAGAACGAGGTGCCAGACTTGGGTGGAGTAGGAGGCGGCGAAGAGACCGACGAAGATGAGGGCTGTGCCGGTGAGGAGGGTGATGGCTGTGCCTAGTAGTTCGTTGGATTTGGTGACGATGGGTCCGATTAAAAGGGATAGGGAGACTTGGAGCCCGCCGATGATCGCATAGTCGAGGTGGCTGGCGCCGGGGAAGGTCGAGTTGGAGAGGTAGTAGTCGAGGATTACGCCCCAGGCGCTGTTGATGCCCCAGGTGTGCACGTTGATCATGAATACGCAGAATGTGCACACCCAGCCGTATCCGCCGTTGGGTGGGACGTCTTCTAATGTACTGATGTTGATGGCATTCTCGGGGCTTTGGTTGATATCAACTTGGTCGGGCGGTTGTAGTTCGAAATCGTCTCGTACGTTGAGATGCTCCGTGCTAGGGTACATTTTGAACTTCTCTCTGATGAGTTGAAGGGTACTTTTCTCTTGTTTTTCGGTTGGTTTGATTGTGGAAGCCATGGTGATAGTAGTCAGGGTTTATATGCATAGATCACGCTCACCCCGTCGCGACACGTCCACCTGCAGACAAAGGCGGAAATTTGGATGGGTGTAGAGTCCCAATCCAGGGCTATTTGAGGCTTGTGTCGACCTTCAGAGCATGATGAAGGAGGGTAGTAGATCAATTGATTTATTGCATTAGTATATTACAGATCAGATTCATGGGTCCACATTCCATTTAATATCCTCCCGGCCCAACATGTCGACGCGTCAGCTTACTCGGAAGTACCGGACTCGACCTTGCCATTCTTCTACCACAGGGTTAGAGTTTTTAATAGATAAGAGGCAAGGGGAGTGGAGTGTCTTACTAGGGTACGGCTGTACTTCACACCGACATTGTTTCCGCTGCGAGAGTCGTAGGGGAAAGGGGTAGTGTAGTTGAAGGTAGCAGTCAAACCCTCATAGGTCTTCTTGACTGTAGAAAGAATTCCGTTGCCAGCAGAGCAGCTGGCATCAGTTGTGGGAACAGGCCAGCCAGCGTAGTACTCGCTGTAGTCATCATCGGACAGAGGACCCCAGTGAGTCTCGTTCATATACAGGTTGCTCGTGTCAACCTCGTAGTTAACATAGCCAGTCTTCTTGGCCAGCCAGCTGAACAGGTTCGCACCACAGTCCCAGCGACCCAGGGAGGGGAGGCCCCAGTTAGCAGACAGGGAAGCAATGACGGAATAGTGGGTGTAGAAGGTGTCATCCTTGGTACCCAGAAGATCATCCGGGACGGCACCGCCGAGAAGGAAGGTGTAGATGTTGTTCCCGATTTCATAAGTGCCGGTCTCATCGAAGGTGAGCATAATAAGGGTGTCCTTGGTGAAGTAATCGTTCTCCAGAAGCTCAGATAGGAAGCTCCAGGTCCAGGCACCGGAAAAGGTGATGTTGGTGTCGTGGCCGTCGTTAGTCATGTTCGGAGTGATGAACATGTACTGCGGAAGACGGTGGTTCTCCAGATCATCGTAGAAGCTACTGAAGTTCTTGATCTGGCGCAGACGGAGAGCATCTTCGGTGACCGAGTCAAACAGGATCAGAGGGTTGTGCTTGCGAACATAGTCGTTGGCACCGCTCTCGGGGTAGCGGTAGCCCTGGTACCCTGGGTAAGGGAGACCTTCCTGGTATTCACCCCAGGCGATGTTCTTGGTATCAAACAAATCGGCAATGGTAGAAACGTTGGAAGGAATCTGATGGAAGTCATCATTGTCCATGCCGAAAGTGTCACCAGCGGCAGATGCGCAGTAGTTCGGCTCCGAGGGGTGAGTGACAGCCCAGAAGTTGTTCAAAAGGAGACCCTTCTTGGCCAGCACTGGCAGATGCTCGGTGGCAGCAGCAGCATCAAAATCCTATAAATGGCATATCAGCTGTAGCTCAATCACTGCATATACCAGATGTAACAGCTGAGGACATACGGTGTTCTCCAACCAGATGTTCACAAAGCGGTTGAACGCCAGTCCCTTGACATTCGAAACGGGAGAGTAAGGCTGCACAGTAGCTTGTGCGGCACGAATCTCAGCCAAGGAGGGGTATTCCTCCGTGGTGGTCTGGGCCATAGCCAGAGAAAGACCTCCGAGGAGGGTCACGAGGGACTGCTTGGTGAACATGATGCCCTAGATATCAGCAGACGAACGCTGAAAGTATACTAAGAGAGGGATCCGGCGTAATATCCACAGAGAAGCACACCAGACAAAAAGAAAATCAGAATCATATTGGGCTGCTGAGGACATCTTTATATCTTTCTTCACGGCTGCTGTGAACTCTATACCGGTCCATCGCGCACATGGTTATTCGTGCCGCAACTATTCTAGCCCGAAGCAATTTAATCAATGAACTGCAATTGGACAGGCCTGTCTAACCGACGAAGCCAGTGTGCCAGATCCCCACAGCATCTGCGTCGGCATTGTGGAACGTTGTCGGCTGCTGTTGTGCATGGCAGGATTGCAGCTGATGCCATCTGGTGAGATGTTCTGCACGTTGCAAGTCAAATGTCGCTGACTGGCCGACAGGGAAATGCCCGCTAATGCCCAGTTTGGAAAGGCGGATAACCTAGATAGCGGAGTGTGACATTCTATTGGACAATTGCTCGACCACTCAGCCAGTGGGGAGCACGGGACTCCCCGTCCCTGGCACGTGCCCGCAATACCTTCTGCCAGCGGATGGTTTGGCATATACTAGTCTTTCAGACTGAAAGCTCGCTTCCGATGGGCTGCAGTAGTCCAACTCCTGTGGAGACTCCGGTCACAAAGAATTCGCAGTGCGTGGCTATATTGCGCGAGTAGCGGGTACGCTAGGAACATCCCGGACTACTGTAGACTACGGAAAGTAGAATAGGATTTTGGAATAACTGGTTGAACTCCATAAGGTCGTTGCTCTCATTATTTTGTAGTCAACTCTATCGATCTATATACCTTGTTGACCAGTCCGGTCACACCTGCGTAGCATGTAAACCCATCGACACCATACATCCTATACTCCAGTTCGCTTAAGCAAAGAACTTGGCCTCGCCCTCCTTCAGCTTGCCAGCACCAACCAGGCGCTTGACCTCCTCGGCGTACACGTTCTTGACGGCAGCAGCGTCCTTGCCAGCAGCGGAAAGGCGTCCAGCCAGGCCAGCAAGCTCCTCAGCGTCGATCTTGCTGATGACGAGGTCAACGTCGCCGAGAACGGAGTCAACCTGAGCAGCGGACGGCTCACCACCCTCGCCGAAGTAGTTGACATCCTTGATGGAGCCCTTGAGAACACGCTTGTTCTTCTTAGCGGCGTTCTTAGCGGCCTCCTTGGCCTTCTTGTTCTGCTCACGCTCGGCCTTAGCAGCCTCCTCGGCGTCCTTCTTGCGCTGCTCCTCCTCCAGGCGAGCCTTCTCCTTCTCCTCGGCCAGACGCTTGATCTCAGCCTCCTTCTCGAGACGCTTGCGGTCCTTGTCGGCACGAGCAGCCTTGCGGAACTTCTTGATACGCTCGTCACCAGCGGCGCATTCGTCCACAAGGTGGCGGAGACGGGTAGTGTCCTCGGTCTTGCGCTTGCGGCGGGCGTTGGCGTTCTTCTTCTCCATGTGACGCTTCTGGTCACGGTTCTCGTTGTCATCCGGCACATCCTCGTCCAGGTACTCGAAGGTACGCCAGCTGTCGAAGTCGTACCAGAAGTTGTAGAAGGTCTCGACCTCCTCCTGGGTGCTGTTCTCGTCACCGAGCTGGGGCACGGGCTGCTTCTTGGAGAAACGGCCCTCGGACTCGAAGACAGGGCGCCAAAGCTTGAAGAAGTTGCCCTTGGCAGCCTCCTTCTTGGTGGGGGGCTCGACATCAGCGGCCTCGTCTACGGAGTCGAACTGACGACGCTTAGTGGGGTCCAGGAGAACCTCAGTAGCCTTCTGGATGCACTTGAAGAAGCTGTCGTTCTCGTCGCGGTCACCCATGGCGGCCTTCTTGTCGGGGTGGTGGCGGAGGACCTTCTTGCGGTGGGCGCGCTTGATCTGCTCGGGGGTGGCACGCCAGCGGTACTTGGACAGGCCGAGAACTTGGTAGTGATCTTGGCTCTGTAGTGTGTAAGAATCATACTTATATCGACGATTTTGGTAATGCATACCTTCCAGTCCTTGGCATCTCTGGAGAGCATCATAGGGTCCTCGTCCTCGGAGATGTCATCATCCTCCTCGTCCTCGGTGCTCTTCACGTTCTGCTGGGCCTGGATACGCTCATCCTCGGAGAAGGTGCGGTGGTGGCGCTTCTGGAGGGTTGTTAGCAGTGAGCCATTATCGCACTGGATCGGTTGCTAGATACGTACTCTGCGGGCGTGGGCCAGGAAGTGAGGGCCAACAGGCTCGAGGTTCCTCTGGGTGGCAGCGGAGACAGTGCCAACGGCCTTGAAGTCCTTATCGGCACTCCAGCCAGAAGGCAGAGAAGGGAGAGTAACGTTGATGGTCTGAACGGTAGCCATGGTCAAGAACAGAGCCACGCGGGGTGATTTAAGGGGAGAATGGGAAAGAGTGAGAAGCGCCCAACGGACTGTTTGAGCAAAAAGACAAAGTGCTTTTCCATTTTTTTCTGCCCCGACTTGCCGCCACCCAGTGGGCCAATCAAACCTTGGCTGTTTCGGAGGTCATCGAAAGTCATGGACTGCCGCAGGGAACGACGGTTAGAATTCAAGCTTTTCGCATGTTGATTAGATCTTCTTCTTATATATTTTGTTGTTTTTGACTGTAGTTTCTATATCAAGGATTCTTTATTTACAGAGCGACGAGCTGCATTCGCCTGACGACAGTTTTTCTTTATCATCAGATCACCCGCTACTATCGCAGTACGCCACCCCAAAAGACTCAATTCACAAGGAGACAACTAACAAAAGGTTAACAGATTCAATTCTTCGATAAATCCCAATAATCAACTTCATAATGTCCTCCCAAACCGCCTTGTCCGCACGCAGTGCTTACCGCCAACTCCTCCGCGCTACCCGCATTGCCTTCCGGGGTCAGTCGCCGCCTCAACAGCCATAAGTCCATTCAACGCTAACCATATTCAACATGCAGATGATGTCCGTGTCATGATTGCTGCCCGTCAAGAGGCTCGCCGGAATTTCGACAGCCACCGCCGCGAAGGCATTGATACTCCGATGCAGATCAACCATGCGCTCGAAGTGGCGAACATTCTCAGACACAACATTGTCCAGGGTGTACGGGAACAAGATGATGAGAATGCCAAGTGGGGTGAGTAGCTAGCAGAAGAATCATGCTATGGCTGAGTATATGTCGCTGACTCAAGATTCCTACTAGAACTCCGCATTCATGATGACATCGAGCGCGGCGATAACGACACCATTAGAGTTAAGGGAAAGACTGTCAAGGTGGATAAGGCATGCTCGTCATAGAGGGAGGGTCTCCCGTGTGGAATCTGACTGTCTGGAAGCCTATGCGTGGGTGAAAGGATGACTGCAGACTATGGCATTTGCAGACTGTATTATAGTATACCCAAACTTTTCTCTCTCCTTCCGGCGTCTTTGGGGGTATTTTATGGTTTAATCAGAATGTAGAAAATATACACAACGCCCGCTCGCGAACATACATAAGACCTCCTTGTTCCCGGACCCTGTAGAAAACAAGCCAAAATGCGAGTTGAAATGCAGATTAATCACCAGACAGACTGGAGTACTGGACCTCTCCAGCACCCGGGGGTGGGGCGACAGCATAACTCCGTTGTTTTTGCTCTTTGCCAATCTCTTCGCCGGCAGCTGTGATGGCTCTCTTTCCAGAATCGGCTGCCCTCGGGCCAGCCGCCTGCCGACCTTCCCGGGCATTCTTCAAGCGCTCCTCCCGATCCATGTTATCCAACGGCTTGGGCTTACCCCATCGAACACGCAGAGGGCAGCCTTGGATGACAGCCCGACCCTGGCACTGCTTGGCAGCTGCCTCAGCACCCTCCCGAGTTGCGAAGTTAACGAACGCAGAGTGAGCACGGTGGGAGCAAATGAGCGACCGCAGCTGTCCAAATTGTGTGAAGAAAGTCCGCAGCGTATGTTCCGGGAGATCATCCTCCACGCCAGTAACAAAGAGTGATGTGATGTTTGGATCCGCAGGCGGTAGGATATCTTCAGCCGATGGAGGCACCTGAGCGGCGCTGGGGAATGGGCGGCCACCACGGCCACCACGCATACCTCCTCGTCCTCTACCCGGAAGTGGCGTTCCCCTCCTGCTTTCGCTTGTGCGAATGGGTCCCGGGCCATTTCCGTAGCGGCTGTGTACCACCGGTGCGTCGCTGGGTCCTGCACTCGCGCCCTCCTCGTCTTGGGGTGCGGCCTCTATCTGGCGAGGCTTCCTGTAGTAGGGTTCACTGTTGGCGAGTCTTCGAAGCAGCTCACGGGCTTTCTCGTCCGTCTTCTCGTATTCCTCCACCGCGCCACGCCCCTCTTCGATCTCCTTCTCGTGACCTTGTGCGTAGTATTCGCGGTTGATGGTGCTTTCGGGGCCTGGGGCGACCATCTTCAAAGCAGCATCACGAACGACGATCGGCAGCCCGAAGGACAGATCCAGCATGCAGCATTGGCAGCAGTTCTTCAACCGTGCGCAAGTCAAGCAGATGGCAGTACGCTTCTGGCGCGCGGTGCGGTCAGCTTTCCAGCGGAAGATGGTGAAAGGACGCGTGCACTGGGAATCTGTTAGTACGGTCTGGTTGTCCGAAAGTGGAAAGGTCTGCCTACAATCTTGCATTCTGCGCCATGGTCTTCCTTGAGCATCTGAACGTAAGGATTGTCGGGCAGGCAGTTCTCGCACACGGAGGGGAAGTCGGTGGTCTCCCATCCGGACCGGTTCAGGTCCTGCTTAATCTGTGGAGGGGGCATGTTGTCGTGGTATCAATCAGCTGCGCTTCCACACAGAAACGTGAAGCCCTGCGGAGATGGTGCGGCGAAGTTGAGCGTTGTCGGTAGCAAAGAACTGGATTATCGATAGTCGTAGTGGCGCATTCTGTGGCTAAGTGTGGCTGTAGTGATATAAGCAACATTTGAGTCACGTGACTTGGCTGCAAGTTCCTGCATCACATGCATGGAAAAGAATCAACCCGAGTGGTCGTTGAGGCATCTGCGTAAGGAGGATAGTTATCTCATTAGAAAGTGCGCGATGCTTAAGCATACAGGGTCCGAAACGATACCTTGCAGTCCAGGCCTTGATCCTGCGGCAATCAACACGATAGCATAGCCTCTTCTGTGCGATCAGCGGATCAGTGATGCCTGGCGAAATACGCACCGGATACGCGATACGCGATACGCAGCTCCTCGATATGACCAGGAACGCCCTGGTCAACTGCCTAGTACGGCTTAGCGCTGTTCCACCGTCTCTTTCGGATACAACTTTTTCCTGGCCAGAACCCCAGGATGCCTGTTTGGGCCTAGCCCCCCGCCATCTGGTTGGCTGGCCAGTGGCACAGCGGTGATTGGCTGGGGAAATGTCAAAGTCAGTCGTAATTCCGCCTCCCCTTTCTTTCGGGCGATCGCATTAACTGCTGCGTTGGCCTCGCTTGCTTCTTCGTATTCTTTCGTTTTCCTCTTCCTTCACTTCTGTCTGCCTGTTTGGCCTTTCTTCTTTTCTCAGGATCGTGTTTGTGGTTATAAAACTGCCTCAATTACCTCCTCAAGTCCCTGTATCCGAACCACTTGCTCCGGACACCTGTGCTTCTTGACCGATCCACCCCTTTTTATCCCACTTTAATTTCCAATTGCTGTCAACAATGGCTCCCGCAGCTCTCGAACAGGAGAACCATGCGCGTGACGCGGAGTTCAACCGCGTTCTCCATGGAAAGTCCGCTGAAGCTCAGGGTGGTTTCGCTGCCATGCGCAACAAGGACGCCGCCGCTCAGAAGGCTGCTGTCGACGAGTACTTCAAGCACTGGGACAACAAGAGCGCTGAGGAAGAGACTGAAGAGATCCGTGCGGTATGTTTGCGACTTACTCCTTTCCGATATTAATGCTAAGCCTTGTACTAATATTTTGATGTTCTAGGCCCGTCGTGCCGAGTATGCGACCTTGACCAGACAGTATGTAGCGCCATTAAGACCCAGAAACATGACTTCGATTCTCAGTGCTGACTCGAATTCGCTATAGCTACTACAACCTTGCGACGGACTTCTACGAGTACGGATGGGGTACCTCTTTCCACTTCTGCCGTTTCTCCCCTGGCGAGGGCTTCCACCAGGCCATCGCTCGCCACGAACACTACCTCGCCCATCAGATCGGCATCAAGTCTGGAATGAAGGTTCTCGACGTTGGCTGCGGTGTCGGAGGCCCTGCCCGTGAGATCGTCAAGTTCACCGACGCCAACGTGGTCGGCCTGAACAACAACGACTACCAGATCCAGCGTGCTACGCGCTACGCTGAGCGTGAGGGTTTGGCCCACAAGCTGACCTTCGAGAAGGGTGACTTCATGCAGATGAAGTTCGAGGACAACACCTTCGACGCTGTCTACGCCATTGAGGCTACCTGCCACGCTCCCGAACTCGAGGGTGTCTACAAGGAAATCTTCCGTGTCCTGAAGCCCGGTGGTGTTTTCGGTGTCTACGAATGGTTGATGACCGAGGAGTACGACAACAGCAACGCCGAGCACCGCAAGATCCGTCTCGGTATCGAGCAGGGTGACGGTATCTCCAACATGGTCAAGGTCTCCGAGGGTCTTGACGCCATGAAGGGAGCCGGTTTCGAGCTCCTCCACAACGAGGATTTGGCCGACCGCCCCGACACCATCCCCTGGTACTACCCCTTGGCCGGTTCCTTCAAGCACTTGACCTCTCCCTGGGACTTCTTCACGATCGCTCGTATGACCTGGTGGGGCCGTGGCATTGCCCACCGTTTCGTCGGTGCCATGGAGAAGGTCGGTCTCTTCCCCAAGGGCTCTCAGAAGACTGCCGACAGTCTGGCCTTGGCCGGTGACTGCCTTGTTGCCGGTGGTGAGAAGAAGCTGTTCACTCCCATGTACCTCATGGTTGGCCGCAAGCCCGAGTAAACGGTTTCAGCAAAATACTTGCATTATGCGATAACGCCTGTACAAATCTTTCTGGGACAGCATCCTATTGCATAGACAGCACGGCGGTCTATGTTCTTTAATATCCGGGTTTCTTCTTTTTCCCTTTATATTTCCCTATGTTTCATTTCCTTTCTTGTGTGTCATTATATTGCATACCGCCGCGGGATGCTTTGTTTTCGTTAGTGCATTGTTTTTCCCATCTCATGTCCTGCCCATACGGGAATGGGCAGGCGTACGAAATCACTGCTGAGTATTATGTGCCGATGGTGATGATTCCTTTCTGTTGCTTGTCATTTGTTGTTAAGAATAGATTTAATAGCGACTACCAGGAATAACGAGTCTCAAAATTACTATTTCACTTTCCTTCCATACCAACAACTTAAATCTTAACCAGTCCCGTAACCTTCTCAAGCACCTCATCCAATAAACTACTCAATATATCCTACTACCGAGCCACCTCAATCTCCTTCGCCTCGGCCCTCTCCTTCTCCTTCTCATCCAAAAACTCCTCCGCCACCGGATTAGCATGGCTAACCACTGCGTCCTTCCCATCGAACAGCAGCGCGATCTGCTCCAGACTCGGTCCTTTGGTCTGAAAATATACCATGGTATTAGCCACCCTCGCCATGGTGTCGAACAAGAGCACGTGCATATATATATAGAGCGACGTGAAAGGGACAGAATGAACACCAACCTCAATAAAGAAGAAATACACCACCACAAACTCAACGATAATCCACCCCACATAGAAGAAATAATACTTCCATGCGAAGGCATCGATTCCCAGCGGGTTTACGTATGTGTTGAATGCTCCTGTGGCACCGGTGACAAGCCAGAAAAGAGCGATGCCTTTGGCGCGGATGGAGTAGGGCAGGATTTCGACGACTGCGTTTGTCAGTTAGCTATTGCATTGACCATTTATGTTTTGTCTTAAGTGAGATTCTGTGGCTTGGGATAGATACTAACCGTAGAGCATCATCGCACCCGTCCAACCTAGGTTATGCACTCCGTTGTAGATATAGATGAAAGCGACAGTGGCGTACGATGCAGACTGACTACCTGTTTCGACGAACACACCCGTGCAAATCGTGATGAGCGCAAAGACGAGCCAGATGAGTCCCATGGACCACAGCAGGAGAGGTCTTCGTCCGACTCGGCCGGGAAGGAAGGCAAAGGCTAGTGCACAGGCGAAACTGAACATTTGGCTTGTTGCGGTGATCAGGGTCGTGTCGACTTCGGCGGTTATCCCGGCGGATTTGAGCATGCTACTGAGGTAGTAGCTTATCAGGCCGTTGCCGGACCATTGTTTGCAGATTCCTGGTTGTCTCGCGCATTAGGTGGCGGTGTTGGTGGTGGTGGGTTTGGGATAGAGGGACTCACCACACCATATGAGGATAAACGAACGCCATCTGTTTCCGCGGGTGTTGATGAGTTCTTTCCAGGAGGTCTTCTTAGCCGCGATCTCGAGTTCGATGGTCTCTTTCATTTCTTGGTATTCCTGTTGCACTACGATGTCCTGGGCATCGCCGTTGCCGTGGTATTTGGCTAGGATGGCGAGGGCGGCTTGTTCGCGGCCACGGCTGATGAGCCAGCGGGGGGATCTATGGTTGTTAGGAATGGCTTTGGAATGAGGCATCCTTTTGGCCTACTCTGGAAGAATAAATGCTCCAATCACCTGGATTATTGACGGAAGGGCTTGGAAGACGGTGGGAATGCGCCATGCCCTATCTTTAATGAGGATGAGGAAATATGATCTCAGGCAGGTGGGCATACCATGCACTTGCAAGTCGGAATGATCCAAATGTGATCCATGCCGCGATGATAGATCCAGCGCTGTAAGTAGTGTTGGACATCGAAGTTGCTGTCGCTCGATGGTCTGGGTAGGCTAGTTCACCCATCCATACTGGCCCGATCGCAGCAACTACTACACCCCCCATGCCTAGAAGCAAGCGAGCTGCGATAAAGAGACCGGCACTGGAGGCACCAGTAGCCATGCCGGTGCCAGCAAGGCATAGGATGGCGCCGAAAAACAGGCAGTATCTGCGGCCGAGCCTGTCGGATATGAAGGAGATAAAGACAACACCGACGATATTTCCTGAACTTGTAGTTAGACCAAGGTCGAGATCGTCGAGATTAGTGTACTGTATCACCTATCCAGTACATAGCGCTCATGGCTCCCAGAAGGCTACCATGAGGGTGATTAAAATCTGCACTGCATGGTCAGTCAACGGACTAGCGCAAATACAATACTCGACATACCCTCCTGCCAAACACTCAGCTCTTGCACATTATTGATCAAGGAAGCATCGTAGCCTTGAGTAAACTCGCTAAACATGAGAAAGAACAGCATCAAGTTCAGCTTTCGTAAACCGGTATCCTTCCACCATGGCCCTTGCTTGTTGCTCACCACCGTGGTGTCCTCTAGCGCTCTGCGATCGATGGGCTTCCGCGCACTTACTGCCATGACGAAGTCGGGTTGGTTAACGATATCCCCTAACACTGCCACCAACTCCCATCCAGAAAATATATACGGAGTTTGTAGCAGATCCTATTGAATGCGATGTCTAATCAAGACAAGCTTGCCCAGGCTATTATCCGGGGCCAAAACCTGGGGGAACTGCGGGGCTGATCTTGCAGATCCCTCCTCCAGGTTGCATGAGAGGTTCGGCCTAAAGCAATCCGAGACGGCTGGAAGAGACCATGCGAGCAGCTCAGACAGCTGGTGGCGATCTCCTGATTCTCCTGTTGGTGGAAAATGTATTCCTAGTGCGAGTGACTGCGTCGCCACGAGCAAGGGCTGACATGAAATTGACTTTCGGGTTGAAAAACTTCCACTAGGATTGCTGCTACTAATTACTGCTTCTCTTGCTTTTCGACACTTATCACATGCTCCTCATTGTGCCAGGTTATTGACGTCGAATTGTAGCACGGCCACCTTTCTGTTACCTTCCTCATTGTCTCTCAATATGAGAATCGACAGAAGCCCAAATTTTGTAAAGGCTTCTTCGTCGATCAGTGGCTCTCCACTGTATCCATATTCTCTCCATACTACACTCATTTCTCCATGTATATCAGTCATACTCCTCCGCACAATCAACAGTTCACTCTCCGTATTTGACGGAAGAATGAAGAACACAGCATTGAGCTTCTCGCTATGGACGAGTTTTCCCCGAGGTCCGGTAGGCGTAGGGTATATGTCAGGTAATGCGAAGAAACTCCACTGATTGTCCGATGGGGAGCGGTAATAGTGCATCCATGTTTCCTCTCCGGTGGTGTTCTCTCGGTTCAATACATGCACTCCTCCCTCGGAGTCAACGTACTGTGCCTCCTGATTCATAATACCGCTGTTTCGAGGGATATACCTGACGAGTAGCCGGCTATCTTGGGACTCGAGTCCGGTCCCTGGACGTGCTGATAGGTTAGCCACTGGCTTTTGGCTTGACCCGCTCCATGTAGTGCCATTATCCCGACTGTATGCATAATATAGCCCTTCGTTATTCTCTGGGCCATTAGGTCCAGCTTGCGCTTTGTGGGCTATAGAAGCGCAGTCGTTCGCTCCTTCATACTCGACAAAGTGTCGGTTAGTCCAAGTGACGTGAAGACTATCCGTTGGTAGATGATAAGATATCCCATTTGGATACGGGTTACACTGTCTTCCAACTAGATAGGTTCCCAGTTGGACGAACTGCGCGGTGTCAGAACTGTAGCGGTATAGGACATCAGAGCCGGCACCTGCTCTACGGGCTGGTCGTCAGATTCTGCTTCTCCGAGGTTTTGCGCGTTACATACTTTCCAATGCGACACTCGAAATACATGTCTCTTTTAGCAGGTATGAATCGTGGATATGTAACGTCCAACAAACCGTCGCAGCCGGGTAAATGATCTAGAATCGGGCTGAAGTTGCTTGCCGTCCAACTCGACTCGCTTGGGTCGGCAGCCAGACCTGGTCGCGAGATGCGATATTTCAGCGCATCGCAGTGGTGATCGAACGACACATGAATCGTTCCATCACCAGGACAGATCCCGATAGATATGGTATTATGTCCGTCATCGGTCATCTGGTTGTAATCTTCGAAAGTCAAATATTGCCAGTCGGACGAAGGGTCCCTAACATCATGGCGTGCAATAGTAACTCTTCTAGAGTCCGATCCTTCCCACGAGGTATAAAAAGCCACATACTGGATGCTGCCCGAAGTTGTGATTGCTGACTGCTGATAGGCACAGGCGTTTAGGCGGTGCGTGGTATTGGGGTCGTCCCCAAGAGCAGTAAAAGACGGAATAGTCATATTTTATTCAGTAGCAGCAGACACGTCCTGAGTACATTGTCTCGGGTGATATGTGGACTCTCGATGGGTGGTAGACTCTCAGGTAGAGAACTATGCAATTTCTCGAGACACGTGAACTGGCCTGATCGGGATCGAGAGAAGACTGCGGCTGAGCATTTTCCCTCCCAACATCTCTTCACCTTCTCAAATCGCTCTTGCACTACACAATTTAAGAGCATGTCTATTAGCTGGTTGCCAGTCCAGCTGATGTTTGGTGGAAGAACTACTAATCCATTCGTCACTGCCCCGCCCCCGCAATGACAGCGATCTCCGCCGGTGTCCATCGATGGCCAGCCATTCACCGATCGTCTTCAATAAACTCTGGCGATGTTTGATCGCCCCCTCACCTCAATTTATCCGAGCTGGCTCCATAATAACCGATGGCACCTCCGGTGGATGTATGGATTCGAGGAATCGAGTCGGTTGACTGCGGCAATTGAAAATCGGAGTTTCTAGAGACCATTGAGCAAGTACTCTTTTGCTAAAAGTATAGATAAGATCGCGTTAGGTACAGTTAGTTCAATTGGGATCCCAGTCATGTTTGGCATCCGAATGAATGCTCTTATTGCTCCAGCTCTTCTGCTGGTTGCTGGAAGCGGAGTCAATGGCCTCAGTTTTGAAATCCCTTCGTCAGCTCCAGCAAACTCCAGTGGTCAGCTAGACGCTGCTCCCGTGGGCGTTTCGTACGTCAACCTGTCTTACAGCAAGAGTTCTGATTTCTGACTATAATAAGATTCGAGTTTTTTGCCTTTCCAGAGTACTTCCAGCAACTACCCTTGACAAATTCTTGTTTGGGACAACTGCACGATGCATCGGGATCTTACTCGCCCATTCGAATTGGAGGCACAACGCAGTGAGATAACCGCGACGTCTTCGTACTGCAATTTATCGTACTAAGCCTTCTACAAGGGATCGCGCG